TAACAAATGATTCTTAATCAGATGGTGGAGACACGGACCCCCTCATTCAGTAGACATTTAGTCCAGCCTAGTTTGGTAAAATAATTTAATAGTGGTCCAGTGTATGGTGCATCCTACACACCCAATTCTGTACCCTCCACATATGTTTTTTATCTTTCTTTTAGCCACTGTTTCGAACTCCCAGCAGGCTTACCAGGAAGCATTTGAAATTAGTAAGAAAGAAATGCAGCCTACACACCCAATTCGACTTGGCCTGGCACTGAATTTCTCAGTCTTTTACTATGAGATTCTGAACTCTCCTGAAAAGGCTTGCAGCTTGGCAAAAACGGTGAGAAAGATTCTCTGGGGTTTCTGATCATAGTAAACTGATGTTTGTGCTATTTAATAACTCTTTAAAAACTATTTGAATGTAACTCATTGTCTTGGACTTTTTTGAAGATTTTTCTGGAGGTATCTTTTATAAAATAAAGATCTTTTTTGTTTTTTCTTAGCAACTAATTTTTGTTTATTTTTGATTACTGTTTTTGGAGGATGGTTGTAGAAAATTCAGTGTGAAGATAGTTTGTTGCTTCTTGTCAAGTTTTGGGCTGTAGATCTCCATTATATATTTATTCTATTTATACCATAATTTGAAGTTATAGCTGTGTAAACAAAAGAAATCGGACCATGTTTTGTGTCTGATCCTCGTTTGGTAACTTGACTGCCTTTTCTTCATATTTTTGTAGTCATTCAACATGCACGCTGTTATTTAAGGTTTTGTTTTTGTTTTTTTAATTTGAAAAATGTGGGAATTATTCAAGTTCCATCACTTAATCGAATCAGATTAGTAGTATGAAATTGTTCTCCCTTTATCCCTTGTATCCAGACCTTTTGAGTTCTTGCTTTAAAAAAAAATTACTAGAAATGCCTTTGGTAATTAAAAAATTACATGAATTTGCCTAGAATGAATGTGCTGTATTAACAGTAATACCTGTTGACTTAGTAGGTAAAGTTCTTATCTAGGAATTTTTGTCATTGTTGGTTGGTGCTTTATAAACACATGTTTGCTGAAACAACTGGCAAACTAGGTAGTAATGGCTCAGAGTACTGTACAGAAAGAGAAATTATATTCACTTGTTAGCAGGAAAAAAATGGGCTAAAGTTGGTCCATAGAACCCGTGACTTCTTTGCTAAAGGCTCTTTGTTGTAGGCATTTGATGAAGCAATTGCTGAATTGGACACGCTGAATGAAGAGTCGTACAAAGACAGCACCCTGATCATGCAGTTGCTTAGGGACAATCTCACTGTAAGTACCCGGATTTCATTGACTGCTTCTGGAGGGTTTACAGTCTCTATTCACTTAACTAATAATTCACTGTTACCCAGACCTCAAGAGGGGAGTTGTAACTTGTGCGTACAGTTAAAATTTTAAATTGTTGAGCTGGTTTTGAGTGCTAAAGTTTTGACCTTTATAATCATCGCTGTCTACAGTACTACGGGGAGAATTTTAAATAGTTGAGTGAATTAAGATGCTATAGATTGGGCCACCTCCCTGAGTAAATTTTAGTAGTCTTCCTTCAATTATGACTCTGTTTTTCTCTTGCAGCTCTGGACGTCGGAAAACCAGGGAGATGAAGGAGATGCTGGGGAAGGAGAGAACTAATGTCCGTCGTGCTTCATGATCTGTTCAGTGTCACTCTGTACCCTCCACATAATGTCCCTTTGTGCGATAAAAAAAAGAATCGTACGTCAACTGTCGATTTTTCACAGCCTCAGCCTAGCAAAAATGGTCCATGGGATAAACAGCTCGTATTTGTATTTCAAACTCAGATTGGTCACATAAATGCCACGGCATTCTGAAGGTTTGATTTTGATTAACATTGACAGGATTACCGTGTGTTTAATTTTTTTAAAAACTGAACACTGTGATTATGGGGTTTTGTAACTACGCAGAACTCTTACTGGTAGAAAAAATAGACCTGAATTATGTGTAACTTTTTGGAAAGTTTAATCTGATATTAAAAAGTCAATGAAATACAGCTCCATTGTAAAGTTGTACAGAAAGTTATAGATTATATTGTGATGCTGGGACTTGGAGTGAGACACCTGTCATTTTGCATTCGAGTTTGATGGTAATTCACAGTAATTCTACCTGTTGTTCAGGCCTTATAGACACTTGACCAGTTTGGGCTGTTGCCACTCAAAAGTTCATGACCGCAGATGTCCACAGTGTCTTCCTGTGAGGAAACTCGAAGCCTGAAATTGAAATTCTTTGTGGCAGACAACTGGGTCTGACAGCATGAGAAGGTCCAGTGCTCATAAAACACACGTGACTGAAACCTCTTTCCTATAGTAATATGTTACTGATTTATGACTTGTGCTTCTGTAGTGGAATCTATTTTCCTTGTAACCACGAGCTAAAGAAGATAAAAAGCCGTGTATCTTATGAATGGCCTTATCTGTCTTCTGGGTAATACCTTTAAGAATAATGTTCTTCGGAGATTGCCTTCCACATGAGGAGTACTCAGTCTTTGGGTTCTTCCTAGCTCGGGGCTATCAAATTTTAAAATCTAAACATTCTTTCCCATTGTTCTTTTTAACTGTTGACTTTGGTTTTCTCTTCCCTCTTTAAATTTCTGTACTTCTGCTGCTTTACTTTTTTCCTTTTTGAATTCTGTCTTTGTCTTTTGTCCAGTTTAATACCATATGGGCAGGGATAGGAGGCCTGGAGGAGGTGAGGAGTGAAGTTGGTGAGCACTTTCGCAAGCAGGCCTTGTTTCAGAGAGTTGAGAAGAGCTTCCAGCACCATAGCTCTGTCTTCCTCCAGTTCTCAGCACGGTTGTTACTCTTCAGTCATATCAAGATCTGAATCAAAAAAGTATTTTTAAATATCCATGACTTCTCCCTGTATTACAGCCAGCCCTGATAATGCTTGTTAGTACCTGTCACCAGATCTTCCAACTGTACTCATCCAGCCAAGTTCACAGACGTGTTTAAAAAAGACCCTATAATGCAGGGAAATTGCATGAACACTGCAATGGGGAGAATCAAGAATACCCAGGCCTACCAGTCTCACAGTATCCCCCTTCCTTTTAACATTCCATGTAGCCGTAGTGTCCATCTGTTTGTCCATCTGCTGAAATGAGAAAAGAAACATTCATGCACTGACGAAAACAAACCAAAAAAAGAAAAAAAAATCCCTTTCTAGCTGAACAAAAATGTGCAGTTAAATACTTGGCGCTTGAAAATGCAGTAGTGAATGTGGAACGAGCCTGTCTGTATATCTGGTAGCTCTCTCTTGCTTTGTTTTTCCTTACCAGTATTCTGCCTCACGTTTGCTTCTGTGATGGTTATACTGCCTAGCAAGCACACCCGTGGTTGTGAAAATAGTATAGCAAAAAAGAAAAATCCCCGGTTATTGATGTACTAGATTTGTGTATGTCTTTTAAACAGTTCTAGTTTCCACCTTACACGGAATAATCAGGAACAGTGTAAAAATTCAAAAGTGAAATAAAAAATTTTATCAGTTAGTTGCCTGCGAGTTTATGTGTGGCCCCATCTCTATCACTACCAGAACTAGCTAACTTCACATTAATTTTGGGCTCTAATCCTCAAAAATAGGCAACAGTTTTGTTCTTTAGAACCAGAAGTCAAGGTGTTGTAGAGGGGAAGAAATTACAAATAATTAACACAGCCCATCCACCTTCCACAACAAAGCATTCAGGTCTTTTGGGGCTTCAGAGATTTGATAGACAGTTACTTTGTATCCCATTCAAGTCCTCACCCCCCTCCCTGTTTTTAAACCCTGAGATGTAACCAAGACAGAGATGGTTGCATAAGGCCTAGTCATCTCCAAAGTTCTATGTGTCTCTGTCATCTGTCCCAATACTTGGGTAGTCTACAGCCCTATTTTTCCTTATGGGATTTGCTCCTTTCTAAAAATGTCCACACTCCCACAAAGAAAAAGATCAGGATGGGGTGGTATTTTACTCCAAGATTAAAACTAGTGCTTTCTTGCTACTTAATACTGTAGGCTGGGCAGCCAGACTGGCTCCTGCCCCTGGTTCTGGAGCTGTTCCACAGGTGAAACACCCAATCAAAGGTCATTGGAACCTACCTGCTTCGTTGCAGCAGGGACACCAGGAGAGTCCCTCAGCCTAGGTAAAGTGCAGTTCCACGATGGATTCGAATTCAAAAGTGGCCCTACACCACCTATTGAGGCTGCAAACTGACAGAGGGGCCTTACTGCTCAGCTTGGGACCACTGTCAGGACCTTGTTTGTTAGGTCCCCACTGTTCCCATAGATCCTGGGTCACAAGTGACTTGGTGAACCTTCCTGGTGGCAGGCTGGTGGAATAGATTTCTTATGAGAAAGAGGTGGGCAGAAAATATTCCACGAAAAGGTTGGCAATACATAAGGGTCTGTGTCAAGGAAGGCCTTAGTGGTCTCGAATTCTCACATGGCGCCTTCAGTCCCAACTCAGAGCCGATTCTAGAAGGGTGTGACGGGATCTGGGCTGTCATGAGAAAAAGACGCCTTTCAAGTGGCTAGGTACACAAGCTTTGAGGATGGGCATCCGGCTCCGAATTCTTCCGTTTGTGAAACACGCAGGGGATGCAGCACTCTCCCCTTTAATCCTTGCGAAGAGTAAGTCTGCAGAAAACGGAGACGGGCCCAAAAAGGCAATGACAGGATTAGAACCCAGATGCCCTGCCGTCCCAAAGGGCTTGGAACTCCATCCCATCTCCGCATCCCTACTCCAGGCCAGGTGAGGGCTCTCCCCGCCTCCGGAGGCGGGGTCAGAGATGCCGTCCACCTGAGGCTTCTAGAACACGGAGGGGGTCCCAGGTGAGCGAGGAGGGGCCCCAGCGCCAGTGATTGGCGCGCTGGGCGGCGAGGGCGGTAAAGGGTGGGGCGCCCGGCCCTGGGAGGGAGAGCCCCGCGCCCCCTGTGCGCTGGTCGCTGCCGAGCTCCCGCCGCGGTGAAAAACGGGCGCCGGGCGGGGGTCGTCGGGCCCGCTGCTCGTTTTTCCCGCCGCTGTCGGCCACCATGAACGCCAGCGGCCCAATCTTTCCGCTCGCTTCGCTCTACGTGGGCGACCTGCACCCCGACGTAACGGAGGCCATGCTCTACGAGAAGTTCTCGCCTGCCGGCCCCATCCTGTCCATCCGCGTGTGCCGCGACGTGGCCACCCGCCGCTCGCTGGGCTATGCTTATATCAACTTCCAGCAGCCAGCCGACGGTGAGCCCCGGGTAGGGGGTGGGGGATGGACCGACAGCATCACGGCCTCCGCGCTTTCATCTCTGGCTCCATCTTTTATCTTGCAGCCAAGGAAACTGAGGCCCATAGATACAGGGCGTTGCATGCAAGGGGCCCTGCCCCCAAGCGGCCCCTGAAGCAGGAATTAGCAATCACTGTGTGCCTGCTGTGTGTTTTACTAGTGCTCCATTTTGCAGAGGGGAGATATTAAGACTGAGTGAAAACAACCAAGGGCTTTGGGATCCAGCCAACCTGGGATTAGAAAACCAGCAGCTGTGTGACTTTGAGCAAATTACGCAATCATTCTGAGTTTCAGTTGCCTATATGAAAAATGGGGATCGGACTTGCCTGATGGAGTGATTGGGATGATGAGAAATTTAAAGCACCTGGTGAGGAAGATGCCTGGGGTGACAGGTAATGAGTGGGGAAGCCAGAGGAGCTGGGCCTGGGGCTCCTGCCTTTCTGGGCAGTGTGACATGAGATCTGCACCAGGTGCTACCTCCACTCCAGGCTTCACAACCCGTTTCTCAGAGTTGATAGGATTGATTAGAGCTTGCCAGATGGATGAGTCCACACTTGTGTTGAGAGTGGAGAGGATGAAGGTTAAGAGCATCTGGTTTTGCTGAAGTTCTGCCACTAGGCTGTGAGCCTGAAGAGTTCTGTGAAGTGGGGCAAAGGCTTATTCCCCAGTAGCACAGAAGGAGTGGAGAACTGTGTCCGTGAAGCATCTCCAGTACATTGTAAGGGTTCAATATATAGTAACCTAAGAAAAATACTAGTAACTATAGGCTTCAGGTGTAAGATTCCAGAAACAACCAAAGTAGGCCCACCCCCGCCAAGTCCAAAAGAGGGTGCCCTTGCTCAGGTCTCCCAGGTGGGTGGCAAGGTTTCCTGAGCAAGGGGTTTGCTGGGGTGGTTCTGCCTGTTGCCCAGCAGGTGACCTGGATTCCAGGGAGACTTCCCCTTTCCTCTGCTTTTTCCACCCACTGCCATTTCCATCTTCCTCCAACCCCTGCAGGACTTGACCTTTTGGCCAGGCTTCATAGATGGGGAAGCTGAGCTCCAGACAGGAGAAGGTTTTGCCCATGGGTGTTCATAGCAGAACTAGATGGAAAACTCAGACTTCTTGAAATGTGCTCCACTGACTTCTGCACGGTTCCCTGCCATGCCTCTGAAGCTAGAGGAGATCCTGAAAGCAGGAGACAGCATATTACCTGGGAGGGGACAGGCTGTAGCAATAGCAGAAGTGATGGGCATAGGCTGCTATGTTCAGACATACTGCTGTTTACAAAACACCTATTTTGTGCCAGGCACAAAGGACAAGGCACCTTGCATACCTTATTTAATTTTCAGGCTATCGACAACATAGAGGTAGATGGTATTATCTCCCTTTATCAGATGTGGAAGGATGGGTAATAGCATCTTCATCCTTACTTTATAGGTGAAACCATCTCAGAGAGGTGATGTTCGTCTCCCCCAAACTCTACTACTTAAGATTGAATCTCAGCTCTACTGCTCAGCACCTCTCAGCTTTAATTTCCTCAAACTGCTGCCCCTCCTTTGTCACTGACGCCCTCTTTTACATTTCTATCTACTCTGTGTGCTTTAGAGACCACAGTAGACCTGGCTCTGCCACTGATTTTTTTCCCCTTCGGAATCGCAGTTTTCCCATCTGTAGAATGGAGATAGGAATCCGTGCTCACGTGGCTACAGTGAGAAGTTGAATGAGATCCTAACTGGAAAGTGAGGAGAGCATCATACACATTAACTCTTCTTATCCTCCTGAGCCGTCAGGCTCTTAACTCCGGCGAAACCCAGAGATTGGCTCCTTTTTTGGCGGGGGAGGGGGCGGCTCTCAATTAAGCACCTTGGGACCCAGGAAAAGAAAGTCCCCTTACCTTGCTCTTTTTTCTCCTTCTGTCCAGCGGAGCGGGCACTGGACACAATGAACTTTGAAGTGATAAAAGGCCAGCCCATCCGCATCATGTGGTCCCAGCGAGACCCAGGACTTCGCAAGTCAGGTGTGGGCAACATCTTCATCAAGAACCTGGAGGACTCCATTGACAACAAGGCCTTATATGACACCTTTTCTACTTTTGGGAACATCCTCTCTTGCAAGGTGGGTATGCCTCTTGGAGGAGTCTTTGTCCAATACTCATGTGGTAGAGGGATGCCAAACAACACCTGACTTAACAGTTGACAAAGTCATTTCAGTTAAGTGCCAGGTTCAGCCAGCACCTGAATGGTAGTTATTCTTTCAGTTTCATCCTCATAGACCTATGAGAGGTCACCTGTGTATCAATCAGCTCTTGCTGTGTAACCAGCCCAAAGCTTAGTCACTGTCAACGACAACTATTATTTAGCTTATAATTCTGCAGTGGTGATTGGGCTGAGTTCAGCTAGGCAGTTCTTCTGGTTTTGGCTGGGCTCCTTCATATGCCCGCCAAGAGCTGGATGGCTCTGCTTCTAGGTGGTGGTTGACTGTCAGTCAGCTGGAATATATCAGCTTTCTTTCCTATAGTCTTTCACGCTCCCGGAGGCTAGCGCAGGCTATTCCCGTGGCAATGGCAGAGGCCCAGGAGACAGAGTGGAAGCTCACCAGGCCTCTTGAGATCTAAGTTCAGAACTGGCACACCATCACTTCTGCTGCATTCTGTTGACCAAAACAAGTCACAAGACCAGCGCAAATTCAGAGTGAGAGGAGTAGAAATTATAAGACAAAGGGTGTGGATACAGGAAGGCCATCATGGCAATCAGTAGCCACACCTTTAAAGATTTCTCATAATGGAAGTTTCATGAGAGTAGTGATCTTATTCTCCTTCACTTTTGTGTCCCAGGACCTGGAATAAGATGTGACACATAGTAGGTGCTCAATAAGTGTTTGTTGAGCAGATGGCTGTATTATAATTTGAGAAGGGTTCTGGTCATTTCTCTGACTTTGCAGATAAGGATCTTGAGGAGCAGAGGTCATACAGCAGGCCAGTCGGTCCTGACAGAAGGCTTAAACCTGGATGTTTGGCCTCTAGATTTTATGGAGACAGCAGTCGGTTACCCTGCAGACTCTGGTGTGTCTTCCCTTCTGGGGAAGTTGGGGGAATGATGGTGCCATCTGTGTTAGAACTCTTCCCTGAGTACTGCTGTGTGCCAGACACAATCCTTAAGTTCTCACGTCTCATCACCTCCCTGTGAATAAGGAACAGAGAGACTCAAGAAGGAGCAGTATTCCTGAGGGTGCTCCATGACAGACAGCCTCTCCTGTCTCTGAGGATCAATGTGAGAGAGAGTCTTAATTGTCCTACGTTCTTATAGTAGAAACAGATTTATCAAGTTCTAGGTTTTCTGCATACATGGCCCCCACTGAATTTCCCACAACAGCCACGTAAGATGTAACTAGGAGGATCCCTGTATTACATTTGAAGGCAGAGAGGCTCAGATCTGGGGTCACTTCTCCATGGTTACATGTTGTTACATGGGGGTGGGAGGTAAGTAGCAGAGCAGGATTTGAACCAATAGGTTTGCCAGTGTAGTTGAAGCTAAGTTACAGGGAAGAGTATGTCTGTCCCAATTATCCAGGACTTAGCTTCCTCTGGGCCACTGAAGATTAGACAGAAAGCTCTGCGTGACTCAGGCAAGTCTTTGCAGGCCTAATGAGGCTCCACCGTGGGCCTAGTTAGATAGAAAATGTACAATGTGGTCCCTACCCCAGAATTCTCAGGCTGGCTGGAGGTGGTAAGAAGCTTTCTGTGGCACCATGGGAAGAGCTCTAGAGCTAGAGTCAGGCCACTGGAGTACAAAGCCCAGCCTAGCCACTGAGCAGAGAGGCAACGTGACACAGTCAGACCTTGGACTTTAGGGCCAAATGTCCTTGGTGTAAATCCTGCCTCTTCCACTTCCTGGCAGTGTGACCTTGGGCCAGTTGTTGAACCCTCTCCATACCCCAGAATGTTTGTAGATTTTTTTAAAGAATAAAACAAGTTTATTGTTGAAACAGTACACGAATTGGTAAAGTTTTAAAAAATGTGCAAAGGAATAAAGTGAAAGAGAAGGCTCTGTTCCTTGAACCCTAATCCCCAGAAATAATCATTTTTAACAGTTTTGTGTATGTCTGTTTAAAATTTTCTCCTGTGTAGATGCCAACTTTAATCTAAATGGGCTTGATTTTTTTTTTTCCACTTACCAATATACCTTACAGATCACTGCGTAATCTACCACGTTCTCTTCAACTGTGCACATACAGTAGGCAAGTATGAATGCACTGTAGTTGACCAGTCTCCTCTTGATGGATATTTAGGTCGTTTCTAATTTTCTGTTAGAAACTAGGATGCGAGATTGGGGATTGGAATCAGATCCTTTTGCCCATCACTTTATGAAGATAATTAAAAGCTCATCTGTGTTATAGATGAGACCTGTGTTCAATTTGAGGACTCTCACCCTCCTTACTGTGTGATCTTAAGCAAATAGATTGACCTCTCTGAGCTTTAGTTTCCCATCTCTAAAATGGAGCTGTTGTTTGACATAGGATTGTCTTTCACAGGTGCAGAGCAAGCACTCAGATATTGCTTCTTATCCTCTTGCCATGCTTTTGTACCTGAATTGAACCCTCTGCTGGATGCGCTCCCTGTCCTTTCTCCCTATGGCCCAGGTGGTGTGTGATGATCACGGTTCCCGAGGCTTTGGCTTTGTCCATTTCGAGACCCATGAGGCTGCGCAGCTGGCCATCAGCACCATGAATGGGATGCTGCTGAATGACCGTAAAGTGTGAGTGGCAGGGTGTGGGGGCGGGACCAAGGCTGAAGGAACAGAATCCTGGCACCACCAACTCGGGACTGATGCTACCCACCACTGTCTAATGGGCACCAGGCACTGAGCAGCAGCCGATATTCTTCCTGGCAGTGTGACGGCCGAAGAGTGGCTCAATCTCTCAGGGACTCCTTTTCTGCAAGTAAAAACGGGGCTGCTCATATGTGCTAGAGGATTGTTCTGAGTAGTACATGAAGTAATGAATCTGAAATTCTAGCAGTAACAGCTAATGGCCAAATCATCAATGGTCTCGGGGATTTCATGTCTTCAGCCTTCTCAGCACGGCTGTGAATTCTTTTCTTAAGCCTTTTGTGTTGTTTCATGGGATTCTTGGATAGGAAGGAAAGTAGGCATATGCTTAGCCAGCCATATTCATGCAGTTAAGTTTGGCATCATCCCCACTTCACAGATGGGAAAATTGAGATGCAGGTGCTGGAGAGAATCTGCTCTGGCAGTTCCCCTCTCCCAGTTTTGCTTCTGCCCCTCTGATGGCCAAGCCCCGTGCTCAGTGCTTTGGAGTGATGGAGGTGCACTGAGGGTCATTCTGTCCAAGGTTTCTCAGGGGAGGCTCCTGTCAATGAAACTGAACCTTGGCAGGCTTTTCCCAATTCTCAGAAGGACGTTATCATTGTCAGCTACGATTTGTCCAAGCTTACCTTTGCCACTCAGTTTTCATCAATTTTTAGTGCCAGCTACAATTTATGCTAAATGTGCTATAGCTACTGTCAAATTTTCTTATGCTTGGCTTTTTTTTCCCCTTAATCTAGGATACTTTCTTAGATGCGTTGACGTGAACTTGGAAATGACAATTTTGAAAATTAATATTGTATTTAAGTGACTTTAGTCCCTCGCCACATAGCAACACTGGCGTGGTCCATATTGGTTTTCTCGTTGCTTCCCCAGTGCACCCAAGATATGTTAAATAAATCAGCAAATCCTTGTGGTGTGAGTTTGATCCCCAGTTATACAGGAATGAACACTGAGGCTCAGAGAAGTTAAGTAACTTGCCCAGGGTCCCACAGCTAGGCAACTAGAGTAAGGATTCAAGTGTGACTCCCAAGTTCATGCTTTTATCTCCTCTGCACTCAGCTGCCTGGTGTCTGGTAGAAGTTCCCTGTGCATTTGCCATAAGAATGAAGTCTTCTTGACCTTATGCTAGAACATTGAATCTTGGCTGTAGGAGGCGTCTGGACCTTAGATGTATTCCATCTAAGAAGTATTGCCCTGCCAAGTTCCCCGCTGAGGGATACAGAGGCCTGGAGGCTGGCAGCAATTGACCTCAGTGACCCAGCACTGCTGGATGGGCTGGGGTTGGGATGGGGGTGATTGATGGCTGGTAACTGCCTACCTTGTTGGTGTGTGCACAGCTTCGTTGGCCACTTCAAGTCCCGACAAGAACGGGAGGCCGAGCTGGGGGCTCGGGCCATGGAGTTCACCAACATCTATGTGAAGAACCTCCAAGTGGACATGGATGAGTGGGGCCTGCAGGAGCTCTTCTCCCAGTTTGGTGGGCACGTTTCCCGAGGGAGTTGGGGATCACTTCAACTTCCTGAGGATTTGTGGGAGGGGAGGGGAATATCTTGAGGATTCCCAAACTCCCCTTTGAGCCAGATTGGTCCTCCCCAGGGAAGATGCTGAGTGTGAAGGTGATGAGGGATGACAGCGGCCACTCCCGGGGCTTTGGCTTTGTCAACTTTGAGAAGCATGAGGAAGCCCAGAAGGTAGGAGCCTCCCCAAGGCCCTGTTTCATGGAGGAGGTGCTGAGCTGGACTAGGAAGGAGGGAGGTCTGGAACGGAGAGCTCCAGCTGCCAGTGGAGGGAAAGGAAGTCCCTCCCCAGCCACACAAGCTAAAGGCAGAAGGCTTCACCCTCCTTTGGGGACTTCCGAGCCCTGAGACTGGCTTCTTTTCATAGATTCTTGTCACATAGATTCTTGTCACATGAGAGGCTGGCTTCTTTTCATAGATTCTTGTCACATGAGAGATAAAAGGGGCCTTCGAGACAGCCACTAGCCTCTTAAATTGGTGGGATCGAGGTCAGGGAGGGGAAGTGCTTTGCTACTTCTTCCAGGCTTTTGCAAATGCCGTTTTCTCAAAACACTTCCCTTCCCCTACTCTCTAGTCCAGTGCTGCCCAATAGAAATGTAACATGAGCCACTGATGCTATTTAAAATTTTCCAGTAGCCACATTAAAGAGGGTGAGAAAGGAAACTGAAATTAATTTTAATAATATGTTATTCAACTTAACATATTCAAATTATGACCACTTCAATGTGTATTCAGTATAAAAATTGAGATTTTTACACTCTCTCTTTTTGTAATTCTTTGAAATCTGATACTTACAGCACAGTTCACTCTAACCATATTTCAAGTGCTCAGTCCATGTGGGTAGCGACCACTATGTTGGACAGTGGAGCTAATTAGTGTGTGTCCTTTGGGTCTCAGCTTATATATTCCCTCCTCTAGGAAGCCATCTCTCCTGTCTTCACTTGCTTCTGGTGAGATGCCCCTTCTGTGCGCCTCCATCATTAGCACAGATCTCTGTGTACAGAACTGAAGCTGGGTCTCGTTTCACCATTAAGTCTTTAGTATTGTACCCGCCAGTAGGTACCAGATTTATATTTGCTGAACAAGTGAATGGTACAAAGCCACATAGTTAGTGACAATAATAGTGTCATATTTGGCCTTCTACCACAAAGCTCTTTTTATGGCCGCTGCCCCATTAAGGTCACTGTTCATGGAAGAGCTCAGCTCATGGTGGATTCTGGCTGGAGACCTGGATCCTGGTGCCATCTCAATAGCAGCTGCTTCTCACTGATCACTTACCAGGGACCTGACACTTCTCTGAGGGTTTTGTATACGTCCTCATCTCCACTCCCACCAGTGCGGGCTCTACTGTTATTGTTCCCCGGGTTATAGCTAGGGACATCATGAGATTACAACCAGTTCTTTCTGACTCTGAAGTTTTGTTCTAGAATACACCGCTCCTTTGAAAGATAACCTCTTGTGTGTCCTTGAACAAATCCTGCCCTCTCTAGGCTTTGGTTTCCCCAATTTGTGAAATGCCAAATTGGAGTAGATGGATGAAGCTACAGGGGTCCATTAACTCCAGGATCTTAAAGACTTTGGTAATGACCTTTAAGACAGCCATAGAACAGGCAATTCCTGAGTCCCCAGCGTATATTTACATATATTTGCATATTTGGGTAGAAAAGCAAAAGTCATCATTTTGTGAAAGTATTTGCTAATGAAATGACCACTTAGCCCCTTCAAATATTTCTAACACCAGTGTCTGATCTTCACCATTGAGTCATGCACACATAAGTCTGCCTTTTGTTGATTTTTGTGGATAAGTCAATGCAAATTAAGTTCAGCGTAAGTGGTTTACAGAAAGAAGTTGTACATCTTTTGCAAGATGTAGGATTTCATGTAATCTAAGCCACTGACAGTTTAGGGTCTAGCTGGCTTAGGACAGTTAACTGAAGAAAAGAAAAATCAATGAGTTAAGACATAAATGTTTCTAAAACTAAAGCCCTCACAGTTAGCAAAAGGACTCTTTTACTGTGAAATCCAACATGAAGTGAAGGATATGGACTATGCTGTCAAACATTTTGAAAGAATTTTGCTCGCTGCTTTGTTCAAATAATCAGTGCGTAGTTAGTTAGAACCTAATTGTTAAATACAAGAAACTCTGCAAATTTCAATTTCACTTTTTAAAGCAGGTTCAAAATCAGATTTTTAACAATCTACAGCTTACTCAGAAATTCTTCTATGTTTTTAAAAAGTGGATTCACTTTAAATGGCCTTTAATGTGGTACTGATTATTCTCAGCTAACAAGGCTGGCCTGGCTGGCAGGTGGCCCCCTGTAGGTCTAGGAGATGGGACTGGAGGCCAGGGCTAAGGCTGGGGGCCTCATGGGGTGGTTACCAAGCGCTCTCACTTCCTCTTCTCTGCACAGGCTGTGATGGACATGAACGGAAAGGAAGTGAGAGGGCGGCTGCTCTATGTGGGCCGGGCTCAGAAGCGGATGGAGCGGCAGAATGAACTGAAGCGCAAGTTCGAGCAGATGAAGCAGGACCGGCTGAACCGTTACCATGTGAGGGTCAGCCTCCTGGCGGCAGCTGCTTCTATGTTCAGAGGGCCCCGAATGTGACTCCTTCCCCTGGCAATCCCAGTTCTGGGAACTGGGCTTTGGGGATTGTGGAGGCCTGCAGATTCCAGGGCATGGGCATGCTGAGTGATTGGTGGGGTGCATGGGTGCTGCACAAGACTGCGAACAGGAGCCTAGGTGGGCAGGGCTTCTCCTACACATGTTGGCTCCTCCCCACCCTCAAGGCAACCTGGAGTTTGGAGGGGAAGGCACATCTAGCAGTATCCTTTCCTTCCAGGGCGTGAACTTGTATGTGAAGAACCTAGATGACTCCATCAATGATGAGAAACTAAGGAAAGAATTCTCTCCCTATGGAATGATCACCAGTGCCAAGGTGAGGGCCAGGGATACGCACAGGGGATAGATGGCCATGCCCTCCCATCCTCTCACTGCCCGTACACTCCTCCCTCCTCACGACTTCCAGAGAGTTGGTGCTGGGCTACCCCTGTTGGAGTTTCGGGGGCTATGTCTGACCCCATTGGAGTTTATCATTCATCTGCAGCCTTGTCTGGACTGGAGGGGAAGAGGGTAGAAATGCAGTCCCAGTCACACAGCTGAATTTATTGAGGCTCACTGTAACCTTGGTTCATTCAACAAGCATTTATTGAGTGCCTGCTGTATGCCAGAGTCCAGAAATTCATGTCTCAGAATTTCCATTGACTTTTGTTGTCATGCCTTGGCTGGTGACATAACCCTTTCTGGGCCTCAGTTGCCCCATCTAAAAAATGAGAGGTTTGGGCTGCATCGTTCTTCATTCTTTCCCATTTATTGAGCACCTGCTTTGTGCTCAGCCCTCTTAGCACCTGAGATGTGGTTATTGACTGTTGTACTCAGTAGCTCTGTGACTTTGAGCAGATGTCCTATGAGCTTCATATATAAGATGAGGGTGTTGGGCTCACTGAATGGTTCTCAACCCTGACTTCTCATTAAAATCCCCTGGGGAGCTCTTCAATACAGGCGCCCGTGTCAGACAAACTGAGTGTAGATCTCTGAGGGTAAGGCCTGGGCATTTTATTTTTAAAAGTTCCCCAGATGATTTTAAGATGACCCAGTGTTCATTCCTTCCATATTTAAGCACCTGCTGTTTTACCAGGCAGGAAAAGCATACAAGAACAAGTCAGATGTGGTCCTTGCCCTTGAGTAGCTTATGGTCTGGGGGGGAAGTCAAATGCATCACTAACTCAGATCTATTATAAGGTATGTCTGTGGAGGGTGGGTAAGTGTTGGAGGTGGAGCTGCAGTAGCTCAGTGGAACAGGAAGGAGGGCTTCCTGTAAGAAGCGGCAGTGGTAGCAGCATTTGAATTGGCTGTGAGGAGGTAGGGAATTGCAGGTGGGAATGAGGAACTCTCCATAGAGATTGGTGTGGGTCATGGGGCTGGGGACCTGCACATGTAATAGCTGTGTTCTTAGGGAGTGCTCTGGAAGTTCTTTTCCCTGCTGAATACAACTTTAAATGTCCTTCAGGGAGCCTGGTGTTTGGGAAGAGGTTCTAACAATTTTGGAGTTAAGGTGCTTTTGAAAAAATGTGACAGAAAGCTGTGGGACATATAAATTAGGCATGAGTAAATTTGATCAAACATCATAAAAAACGGTGGGTCCTCTTTCCCAGCAAATGCATGCTTGGTGTAGTGTTGTGGTTGAAAGATGGAGTTTCAGAGTTAATCAGAATTACGTCTTAATCCCTGACCTACTGCTAACTAGCTGTAGGACCTGGGGGAAGTGACTTTGCCTTTTGGATGCTGTTTGCCCATCTGTAAGATGGGAGCAACATTCCTTACCTCAGATTTGTCCTGAGAACTGAAGAGCCTGCATGTAGAGTACCAGCCCACAATAAGTAGTGAAATCATTGTCTGATTATTCATGTACGTTGCATGTAATTTCGGGAGATTCACCGACCTCCTTGAGGACTCCTTGAATAAAAGGAATTGTAAAAACTTTGGAGTCGTGCTTCAAGTTGAGGCACACCTACCTTGTGAATTGGTTTAAGTCTGTATGTATTTATATAATTTAATATATTTTCTCTTATAAAAGTGATTATGAAAATTAAATGAGTTAATCTATATAAAGTGCTTACAGCGCTATCAAGTTCAGAGTAAGCTCTGCATAAGTGTTAGTTGTACTAATTATTTTTTTACTACCTAAGTTCTTATTAACCTGTTAAGGCAATATTTTTCTGCCAGGAAAACTTGGCTGTCTGGTGAAGCCTATGGACCCCTTCTGAGAATATTTTAAATATGTAAAGAAAAATTCATAGGATTACAAAAGGACAATTATATTGAAATAATTATCAAAATATTAAGGTGACAGCAGTATGTGCATTAAACTATAAGATCTAGTGAAGTAGCAATTATTATAAATGATATTTTGAGATCAATAATGTGGTACGAAAATATTTTCCTGAAAAAGTCACAAGCATGGCTAATAGTACTATGACTATTTATTGTTGCCCATATTCAAAATAGAAAGATATGCTAATGTGAAAATATAGATGCCATTTTTTTCCCTCATCCGAGTTCACAGATCTCCTTGAATTCCATCCATTGACGTCTTTGTGGATCTGTGAACTCTCAGATTAAGTCTCCCAACCCAACCCCCGGGTTGCAGACCAGTACTGGTCCGTGGCCTATTAGGAACTGGGCCACACAGCAGGAGGTGAGTGGCAGGCGAGCGAGCAAAGCTTCATCTGTATTTGCAGCCGCTCCCCAGCACTAGCATCACCGCCTCAGCTCTACCTCA